TCCAGGTTGACTGTTGTATTGTCTAGGTTAACTGTTGTATTGTCCAGGTTAACTGTTGTTGTCACACTCTGGCTCCAGGACTTGTGTATTTGAGCCAGGGTGTATGTTGTTTGTTGGGTTTTGGGTGTAATTTTATGTTTGCAGGTCTGTCACGTTTATTTCTAGGTGAGGAGTTCTGTTGTGTCTATTTCTAGGTTGGTGTTGTGTTTCCTTGTTTGTATTCATTGACTCCCAATCGGAGGTAACGAGTGTCAGCTGTTCGGCTCGTTATCTCTGATTGGGAGCCATATTTAAGATGTAGGTTTTCTTGTGTTAGTTGTGGGTTATTGTTCCATGTTCCAGTGTATCTGTTTATTGGACTTCACGCATCGTCTTTGTTTGTTTTGTTTTTCGTGAGTACGTTAATTAATAAATCATGTTCACTCGCAACGCTGCGCTTTGGTCCGCTTCTTCATATGTAGACGATCGTGACAGAATAACCCACCAAAAGAGGACCAAGCAGCGTAACAAGCGGCAACAGGACCTACCTCCAACGGATTCATGGACATGGGAGGAGATACGGGCTGGAAATGGTCCTTGGCCACAAATGGAGGAATATCACCGCCCTCGTGAAGAGCTGGAGGCAGCTGCAGCCGAGAGGAGGTGGTACGAGGAGGCAGCGCGGAGTCGAGGCTGGAAGCCCGTGGTTACTCCCCAAAAATTTTTTGGGGGGGGGCACATGGCTTGGGCGCCTGGGCAGCAGGAGGCTGCCACAGGTAGAGCTGGAGAGAAGGCATTCGGATTACGGGAGCCATTGGCGAGTGGAAAGGGGGAAGTTGTTGTGGCACGGCATGAGAGACTGAAGTGTGTTCCCAGTCTGGTCCGGTCCGTTCTTGATCCCCAGTTAAGGCCAGTGGTGGGTGTTCCCGGTACGGGCCGGTCTGTTCCTACTCCACGCACCAGGTCCACGATGTGCGTCGCCAGCCGGCCAGAGTCTGCCGTCTGTCCTAGGGCGTCTGAACTGCCCGTCTGCCAAGCGCTGCATAAGCCGCCCGTCTGTACTGAGCCTGCAAAGCCGTCCGTCTGCCATGAGCCTGCAGAGCCGTCCGCCAGACAGAATCAGACACCTGCTATGGAATCAGCAGGAGCCGGCGCAGCCCATACTAGACTGGAAGCTCAGGTTCGGGACCAGAAAGAGCAGATCCTGCAGATGGGAGCCGCCCTGCTGGAGGTGATGACTGCTATCCGAGGCTGGGGTCCGCCTCCACCGCCAGCCTCCCAGCCAGCACCATCAGCCAGCCATGAGCAGCCAGACCCGTCAGCCAGCCATGAGCAGCCAGATCCGTCAGCCAGCCATGAGCAGCCAGACCCGTCAGCCAGCCATGAGCAGCCAGACCCGTCAGCCAGCCATTAGCAGCCAGGTCCGTCAGCCAGCCATGAGCAGCCAGATCCGTCAGTCAGCCATGAGCAGCCAGATCCGTCAGCCAGCCATGAGCAGCCAGACCCGTCAGCCAGCCATGAGCAGCCAGATCCGTCAGCCAGCCATGAGCAGCCAGATCCGTCAGCCAGCCATGAGCAGCCAGATCCGTCAGTCAGCCATGAGCAGCCAGATCCGTCGGCCAGCCAGGATCCGCCAGAGCCGTCCAGCCAGGATCAGCCAGAGCCGGCCAGCCAGGATCCGCCAGAGCCGGTCAGCCCGGATCCGCCAGAGCCGTCCCGCCAGGATCCGCCAGAGCCGTCCAGCCTGGATCCGCCAGAGCCGTCCAGCCTGGATCCGCCAGAGCCGTCCAGCCAGGATCAGCCAGAGCCGGCCAGCCAGGATCCGCCAGAGCCGGTCAGCCCGGATTCGCCAGAGCCGTCCCGCCAGGATCCGCCAGAGCCGTCCAGCCAGGATCAGCCAGAGCCGGCCAGCCAGGATCCGCCAGAGCCGGTCAGCCCGGATCCGCCAGAGCCGTCCCGCCAGGATCCGCCAGAGCCGTCCAGCCTGGATCCGCCAGAGCCGTCCAGCCTGGATCCGCCAGAGCCGTCCCGCCAGGATCCGCCAGAGTCGTCCAGCCTGGATCCGCCAGAGCCGTCCCGCCAGGATCCGCCAGAGTCGTCATGCCAGGATCCGCCAGAGCCGTCCCGCCAGGATCCGCCAGAGCCAGCCAGCCAGGATCCGCCATCTAGTCCTGTACTGCCCTTCAGCCCGGTGCTGCCCCTTAGTCCGGTGCTGCCCCTGAGTCCGGTGCCGCCCCTTAGCCCGGGTGCTGACCCGTAGTCCGGTACTGCCTCTTAGCCCGGTGCTGCCCTTTAGTCCGGTGCTGGCCCCGTAGTCCGGTACTGCCCCTTAGCCCGGTGCTGCCCCTTAGTCCTGTACTGCCCTTTAGTCCGGTACTGCCCCGTAGTCCGGTGCTGCCCCTTGTCCCGGTGCTGCCCCTTATCCCGGTGCTGCCCCTTAGTCCGGTGCTGCCCCTTAGTCCGGTACTGTCCCGTAGTCAGGTGCCGCCCCTTAATCCAGTGGGGTTGAGTTGGGGGGTGGTCATGAGGAAGGGAGGACGGAAGCGGAGAGTGACTAAGGTGGGATGGGGACCACGACCAGAAGCAGAACCGCCACCGTGGACAGACGCCCACCCAGACCCTCCCCTAGACTGTATGCTGGTGCGCCCGGAGTTCGCACCTTTAGGGGGGGGTACTGTCACACTCTGGCTCCAGGACTTGTGTATTTGAGCCAGGGTGTATGTTGTTTGTTGGGTTTTTGGGTGAATTTTAGGTTTGCAGGTCTGTCACGTTTATTTCTAGGTGAGGAGTTCTGTTGTGTCTATTTCTAGGTTGGTGTTGTGTTTCCTTGTTTGTATTCATTGACTCCCAATCGGAGGTAACGAGTGTCAGCTGTTCGGCTCGTTATCTCTGATTGGGAGCCATATTTAAGATGTAGGTTTTCTTGTGTTAGTTGTGGGTTATTGTTCCATGTTCCAGTGTATCTGTTTATTGGACTTCACGCATCGTCTTTGTTTGTTTTGTTTTTCGTGAGTACGTTAATTAATAAATCATGTTCACTCGCAACGCTGCGCTTTGGTCCGCTTCTTCATATGTAGACGATCGTGACAGTTGTATTGTCCAGGTTAACTGTTGTATTGTCCAGGTTAACTGTTGTATTGTCCAGGTTAACTGTTGTGTTGTCCAGGTTAACTGTTGTATTGTCCAGGTTAACTGTTGTATTGTCCAGGTTAACTGGTGTATTGTCCAGGTTAACTGTTGTATTGTCCAGGTTAACTGTTGTGTTGTCCAGGTTAACTGTTGTGTTGTCCAGGTTAACTGTTGTATTGTCCAGGTTAACTGTTGTGTTGTCCAGGTTAACTGTTGTATAGTCCTGTTGTGTTGTCCAGGTTAACTGTTGTATTGTCCAGGTTAACTGTTGTATTGTCCAGGTTAACTGTTTTATTGTCCAGGTTAACTGTTGTATTGTCCAGGTTATAGCTGTTGTATTGTCCAGGTTATAGCTGTTGTATTGTCCAGGTTAACTGTTGTATTGTCCAGGTTAACTGTTGTATTGTCCAGGTTAACTGTTGTATTGTCCAGGTTAACCATTGTATTGTCCAGGTTATAGCTGTTGTATTGTCCAGGTTAACTGTTGTATTGTCCAGGTTAACTGTTGTATTGTCCAGGTTAACTGTTGTGTTGTCCAGGTTAACTGTTGTATTGTCCAGGTTAACTGTTGTATTGTCCAGGTTAACTGTTGTATTGTCCAGGTTAAAGCTGTTGTGTTGTCCAGGTTAACTGTTGTATTGTCCAGGTTAACTGTTGTATTGTCCAGGTTAACTGTTGTATTGTCCAGGTTAACTGTTGTATTGTCCAGGTTAACTGTTGTGTTGTCCAGGTTAACTGTTGTATTGTCCAGGTTAACTGTTGTATTGTTCAGGTTAACTGTTGTGTTGTCCAGGTTAACTGTTGTATTGTCCAGTTTAACTGTTGTATTGTCCAGGTTAACTGTTGTATTGTCCAGGTTAACTGTTGTATTGTCCAGGTTAACTGTTGTATTGTCCAGGTTAACTGTTGTATTGTCCAGGTTAACTGTTGTATTGTCCAGGTTAGCAAGTTAAATGTTTGTTGTTGTTGTTGTTAGTGTTAGCTAGCTGTACCTGCGCCAAAACGCCGATATTTTTCATCCTTTAGCTTGTTTTCAACATGTTTTCAGCACTTTTATTTCCATGACTGATCAAAACACATTTTCTTATGCTCCCTCTTGTCTCTCAGAGGGAGAGAGAGAGAGAAAGAGAGAGAGAGAGAGAGAGAGAGAGCGAGAGAGAGAAAGAGAGAGACAGAGCGAGACAGAGAGAGACAGAGAGAGAGAGAGAGAGAGAGAGAGCTGCACCGCTAAGGACCATGGCTTTGAGTGTGGTCTCCTTTCACCACAGCCCTTTGGGGGGAGAAGGGGAGAGACAGAGACACAGAGTGGCTGGTCAAGGCTGTGTGTCTCTCTGTGTGTGTGAGCAGAAACAATGGGCCTCTCAGATTACATCTCTCTTGTGTGTGAGGGGGGAGGTAGGGAACGGGAGGAAAGGGGAGAGGCGGGGAGGGGGAGACAGGGAGGGGGGAGGCAGGGAGGGGGGTGGCGGGGGGGAGGCATGGAGGGGGTTGGAAAGGGGGATGCAGAGAGGGGGAGGCAGGGGAGGGAGACTCTCCCACAGCCAACCCCTCCTGCTCACCTCACTAGTTTCCCTGGCGTCTGATTGGCCTATGCCGGGTATATATTTACACCACGGCTTTATCAAGCCTAACCACAACTTTCAAACTCTGCAGCGCTGGGATTACAGAGGGGAAACCGACTGGTCACACCAACAAGGGGTTCTGTTAAACACAGAGAGAGAAGAGAGGTGAGAGAGAGAGTCATGGAACCTTTCAGATTTTAAACTTCTTGTTTTTGCTGGATCAATGCTTTGCTCTTTTTACTCTGCAAACTAGTCTTTTTTTTTAAACGTTACAGAACAACAACATCAATTGGACTACTAAACTACTAAATAGGATTTTGTCTAGCTGGAATGGATATATCTGAGTCTAGTTTATTTTGTGAGGCCAGTTCTCTGCCAGGCCTGGATGGAGCCGTTGGGCGTCCATGGATGTCTTCCCCCAGCCCGGGCTGTGATCGTGGGCTAGGACCCTTCGACCAGACCCCCCTCTCTGAAGGACCTGGAGACTGTGGCCCCGCTGGGGGCCGTAAAGACACCAGGATAGGAGCCCCGGCGAGTGGACCATGGACAGGGGCAGGTAGCCCTGACTCGACCCACCCAGGAGCACCTTCCTTGGGTAGCGGAGACGGGCAGCCAGGGGGTGAATTGAGGATCCGTCGGCCCATGAATGCCTTCATGGTCTGGGCCAAAGATGAGAGAAAGCGACTGGCCGTTCAGAACCCAGACCTCCACAACGCTGTTCTCAGCAAGATGCTGGGTGAGATAATGACACACACACACTCCGTATGTCAGGATGATTTATGTCACTTTTGTTTTAGGAAATGGCATGTTTTCTTTATTCCGCTTTAGAAAGAATGCTTTGTTTCTTTGACTTAAATCACAAATGTTTTTTTGCCAAGTCACGAAAAACACAATCAATCAGTTAAATCAACTCCACTTGTTGGTATGCCTTTAATAACTGTCTGCGTTAATATCGCATTCAAGTCATTGGCCAAAATGTGATTTATGAGCTATAAAACCACGTTGGATTGTTTCAATGTTTAATGTGTGCAGTAGTGCTTAGCAAGCAGTGTAAAGCTGCCTGGTTTTTTCCAGACAGTAAGGAAGTAGATAGTTTGACTTTTATTCTGAAAACGCATCACTTAGTAGCTACAACATACTGAATGCGTTTAGAGCTGCACAGATTCCATTCGGATGTCAACTGATTACACTGCTGCTAATGATGGTAATGTTGATAACAATGTAAATGTATATTATTATTATCTTTAGGTCAGTCGTGGAAGGCCCTGACTACTCTGGACAAGCGTCCCTTCGTTGAGGAGGCCGAGAGACTCCGCCTCCAGCACCTGACGGACCACCCCAACTACAAGTACCGCCCCCGCCGCAAGAAACAGGCCAAGAAGCTCAAACGGGTGGAACCGGGGTTACTGCTCCACAGCCTAGCCCAGGGAGGGGCAGGGGAGGGCTATGGACACCCACGGGATAGTTACGGACATCCAGGCCACCATCACCCCCACCACCACCTCTTGCCTCCTCTCGGACACTTTAGGGACCTTCACTCGGGGACTTGGAGAGCTACGGCCTGCCCACACCGGAGATGTCCCCCCTGGATGTGATGGAGGAAGGAGGAGGAGGGGACGGAGGGGTGTTCTTTCCCCCTCACATGCAACAGGAAGACGCGGGCCTGCATGGCGCTTGGAGTAACTACCATCATCATCACCACCGTTATAACAGCCACCATCACCACAACCCTCACAGTAATCACACCCACTCTCTTAGCCAGAGTCAGGGTCATAGCCAGAGCGGCTCCTTGCTCTGTCGTCCTCCCCAGGAAAAGTGTCTCAGCAGAGCTCCAGAGCCTACGAACTCTCCCAGTCCCTACTCTAACCTCCAGGGCTCCTCTATAAGCCAGTCTGAGCCAATCAAACCCCACCTTCCCATCACTAGTTCCTCTGTGTCCTCTGGTTACTATAGTTACCTGTACAGTAGCACTGGCCCAGACACACCCCGGTCACCCCACTTCACCTCCCACCTGGGGCAGCTCTCTCCCCCACCTGAGTCCTCCTCCATGGCCACTACATCCAACCCCGTAGTCCCCCTGCCCCTGGACTCTATACGGTACCAGGCCGGCCATGGTCCCTTGGGCCCTACGTCAGCAGAGTTCTGGACAGAAGTGGATCGCTATGAGTTTGACCAGTACCTCAGTGCCAGCCGGACCCGAACGGAGGAGCACATGGGTACTCTTGTCCCTGTTTCTAAATCTATGGAAGGTTACGGGGGCGGGGCTACACCCTTCTCCAAACCCCTGGGGAGGAGCCCTGGTGCATATGAGGAGAGCCAGAGCGGTCCTCTCATCTCACTTCTGTCTGATGCTAGTAGTGCTGTCTACTATAGTACCTGTATTACTGGCTAGGACCACCTTGTGTAGTGTTCAGCTGTGTGTGCTGTAGTCTGCAATAGTCCAGTACAGCCTATCGGACCTGTAGCTCAACAGTATGTAAAAAAAAAAATAAGTTCAATACTTGAGTGGCACTTGATGTAGCTTGCACTATGGAATAGCTCACAGACGTGCAAAACACTAAACTTAGGCAAGCACACCTCAACATTGAAAGCATTGGGCCAAATGTATTTTACCCAGGTCTGCAGTTTACCCCTGAGGACTTTCAGGGTAAGATTACAGCAATGCTTTATAGTCTGCAACAGACCACTAAAGACTACTGAGCTCTTCTACTTCCTGTCCAGACAGGCAGAACATTTATAATGATAAAACTGTTCCTTTTTTATTATAGCCATTTATATGCACTTCCTGTTTCCTGTTGTTTGTTTTATTTGTGTTGTATTGTTTGCACTGGGTCAGAAACGTGTGCATAGGAAAACCACTATGGTATAAAACTTTGGGTAACACTTTACTTGGATAGTCCATCATGCTCTACAAACTATCTACAGACTGTCAGTTACATTTCAACTAAGTATCTACTAACCCTAACCTTAACCCTTATCCTAACCTTAACCTTATCCTAACCCTAACCTTAACCCTTATCCTAACCCTAACCTTAACCCTTATCCTAACCCTAACCTTAACCCTTATCCTAACCCTAACCTTAACCCTTATCCTAACCCTAACCTTAACCCTTATCCTAACCCTAACCTTAATCCTTATCCTAACCCTAAACTTAATCCTTATCCTAACCCTTACCTTAACCCATACCCTAACCTTTATTCTAAACCTAAATGAAACCGTAGCAAGCAGCTCCTTATCAACAGATAGTTTGTTGATAGTTTGACCATCTATAGACCATCTATAGACCATCTATCCAGATAAAGTGTGACCAAACTTTTTTTTAAATGAGACTATGTAGTTTCCAGATGAAGATATCAAGGCAATGTGACTGTATGAGGTATGCAATAGTAGGAGACTAGGAGTTTATTTTCAACAAGGTTGTACTTTTTCTATTTACATCAAACACTTGTTCATATTTTAATTTCAGTCAAACACACATGAAAGGGAAATCTGGGATTAGGGAATCCATTTAAGGACTTTTAAATTAATTATATATAGCCTTTGTGCCAAAAAGGGTGGGTGACAGCTTTGTTGTTGTTTGAATCCCAGATTGTCCCTTTAAAGGCCATGTTGAGTGGGTCATAAATCATGTCCTTTTGGTAATAATTAAGAATATAATAATTATCTTCGAAAACAAAAACAACGTTTGGAATAAAACAAACAAAACCATCTCTCTGCAATTAAATATCAAAAGGCAAAATGAAAGCCTTATTTCATACAGTATGTCATTGTAATTAGAACATGTTATACGTCTTCAATTGAAAAGGGCATTTTTAAATGGATATGTTGCTTTTTAAATATTTTACATAATAAATAAAGTTATTTATAAGATTTATGGTTTGAGATTTCCTTTCACTTAGTTTCAGATTTGACATTGATTGCTTTGTTAGACATATAAATGATTATTGCTAAACTTTTAAGCCTGTTTTCTCTTCAACAACTCTATTTTTTTTATTTATTGCTGCTTCAGTCTCAGTTCATTGTTCCGGGTCCTGACGTTGTAACACAACGTGTTATTGTCAATACTGTGAATCTCTGTCCTCTGCCTTTTCTCTCAAAAGAAAGAAAGAGAAAGAAAGAAAGACAATCTCCGACCTTTAACCTTTAAGCCGACTGACTGTCTGAATCCATCCTGGTGGAGTTCTGATCGCCACTAAATTAGTTTGGCTCATGAACCCATCATCCCCCCAAACCGCTGACTGAAAGAAAACATTTTTAACAAGAAAGAAACAACAGAATGCAGAGGCTGAGTCCCAAATGCCACTGTATTTCCTATTTAGTGCACTACTTTTGACCAGAGTTATAGGCCCTGGTCAAAAGTAGTGCACTTAATAGGAAAATAGGATGGCATTTGGTAGGCGGACAGTTTCTCGCCCCCCTCGCCTCGCGGCTCTCCACGCAGGGAGAGAAGAAACGTTGGTATTTATTTTATTATTGTTTCCAGAACATTCAATTCACTTTTGGAATAGAGAAACATTTGGATTTCTTAATCCACTATGAGGATCTAAATGTTGACATGTGAAATATTTGTAATGTTGGCACTTTTTCCCTGCATGGGCAACGCAACATGGAATGTACTGGGAAAGTGTGTGTGTGTGTGTGTGTGTGTGTGTGTGTGTGTGTCCCCGTCTGTCTGTGTGTGTGTGTTGTGCTCATGGTTACAGTTGTTTATTGTGGCGGGTCGCTGTGAAATGGCGGGTAGGTCCAGCGCAGGACACAGTCAGCATGAAGTTGAATCAATTAAATGTAAAAGTAGCTGGAATGTGAATGACCAGGAAACTCCTGTGGAAGTACAGGAAGTTAGTGTGGTTGTAATTTGTGTGTGTGTCCGTCCATGTGTTGTGTCTGTCCTTGTGTGTGTCTGTCCTTGTGTGTGTGTGTGTGTGTGTGTGTGTGTGTGTATGTGTGTGTAGGAAGGATGTTGAAGGGAAAAGGTGTTTTTTTTGTATCCAAACACCACCTCACCCTCAGCCCATCACCCGCAGTGGAAAACATAACAGTGAACAGCCAACTTGTTTGATTCTCTTTCCCATCTGGAAATTAGCAAACATCAGCTCTACCAAAGATACTTTGGTGTGTGTGTGTGTGTGGGGGTGGGGGTGTGTGTGTGTGTGTGTGGGTGTGTGTGTGTGGGGGTGGGTGTGTGTGTGTGTGTGGGTGTATTTGAGTGTGTTTTAGAGAGTTTGTCAATGTGTTGTTCTCTACGGTATGAGATTATATGTCTTTTTGGGTGGGTTAGGGTTTAGGGTGTGTGACTGGATTTTTTAACGACGCTGACCCAATACGTGTCACGTGTCCATTAAGTTTTGAGTGCGTATGTGTTGGATTATTTGTGTGCAACAGGCAGACAGAGAAGTGAGTGAAATGAATTAATGCGGTTGAGAGTGGGATTTTCCCAGTACTCTGTAATTTACTTAGATTTAGTCATAGTCATTTTGACTAAAATATCATGAAGACATTTTTGTCATTGAATAATTATTTAGTCTAGTTATTGTCAAAATGACGAAAACAGTGGTCCGTTTTAGTCAACTAAATGCCCTTTAAGTTTAGTCACATTTTAGTCCCGTCACATTTGTATTGTCTCATTAACCTATAGAAAACATACATCACTGACTTCTATGTGAACAAACACACATATCCTTGTCCTACCAACAGATTTTACTGCATAACATCCTATCGCATGATTCTCTTCCCAACAGCCAGATTGACAAAACACATCACTCTGCAGCAGATGAAACATCCCACTCCTTGACAGGACTCATAAATGGCAGTAGTCAATTAAGTGATAATGGCCGAGAAGCCAGTGTTGGGAGGATATATTGGCACGGGTTAGACCCGAGATGATACATCCATAACAATGAGCTGATGAGGCACGATTTCGCCTGACATAGAAAATGCCTCCCAAGTGGCGCAGTGGTCTAAGGCACTGCATCGCAGTGCTAGCTGTGCCACTAGAGATCCTGGTTCAAATCCAGGCTCTGTTGTAGCTGGTCACGACCGGGAGACCCATGGGGCGGCGCACAATTCGTCCAGGGTAGGGGATGGAATGGCCGGCAGGGATGTAGCTCAGTTGGTAGAGCATGGCGTTTGCAACGCCAGGGTTGTGGGTTCATTTCCCACGGGGGGGCCAGTATGAAAAATAAAATAATGTATGCACTCACTAACTGTAAGTCACTCTGGATAAGAGCGTCTGCTAAATGACAAAAATGTAAAAAAGTGCTCTCTCACTAGGACACTGTTGTTCAGAGGAGCCAGTTAACAACACAATCACTTCAAGCTGGAAAGACTGCAAACTAGCTGCGTTTCGTCTTACCTTTTTTCAATTGACATTTCTTTGTATATATTCATAAAAATGATAACAGCTGATTCATGATGTAGACTGGCGGAGAAACGCTGTCTGCCTGTCTGTCTCGTCCCGATTCCCGACACCTTTATTACAATGGGACAGCTGGAGATGGAATTTGAACATTGAAACAATGTTGCAAATTTCGGCGACACAGGTTTATACAATTCTCTGCTGTTGAAAACAAAATGTTAGTCTGAAAGAAATGTGAGATAATGTCTAGATAATTTTTTATAGTGGAGATAAAGTTTATAAATTGCCTGGCTGGGCTGATGACACAGTGGATTGCACAGTCAGATGGAACAGCAGGAAAATAGGAATTAGGTTTTATCCAATCAGGATTAGAACCACCCCGTTGTATAATCTAGAAACATTCACTGACTGTGAGAGATTACATTTATTTTCACACCTCTAAAACACTTCACTTTATGACAGCTCAGCTCAAAATTGTCACTCCACAGGTTGCAGGATGGTAACTAGCTAGCACGATCAGTCTGTTATTACCTGAGCCTACAGTATATATGGGGATGATGCTCTACTATTTTTTCCCGTCAACTTGTGGGTGCAAACGCTGTCTTCTCCCGTGGAAACGTTGCATTTGGTCTTGTTTGTTTGAATTGACGCAATGTGTAAAGAATGTGATCCCGTTATCTACCGGGAGCCACCTGGAGAGCAGCCATGGCATGTGATCCCGTTATCTACCGGAAGCCACCTGGAGAGCAGCCATGGCATGTGATCCCGTTATCTACCGGGAGCCACCACCTGGAGAGCAGCCATGGCATGTGATCCCGTTATCTACCGGGAGCCACCTGGAGAGCAGCCATGGCATGTGATCCCGTTATCTACCGGGAGCCACCTGGAGAGCAGCCATGCATGTGATCCCGTATCTACCGGGAGCCACCACCTGGAGAGCAGCCATGGCATGTGATCCCGTTATCTACCGGGAGCCACCTGAGGCAGCCATGGCATGTGATCCCGTTATCTACCGGGAGCCACCTGGAGAGCAGCC